AGGACGCGAACTGCCTTATCACACACTCCGAACTGACGAGGCAAACCATCTCAGGTGGAATCGACGATATCAATCATGGAGCCGATGGATTTAGGGAGGAAGAGGGCCGATAACCCCGATACGGGAACCGTAAAAAATCAGTGATGGGTCCGTCCAAGCTAACCTCGATGCACGTGCACCCTTTTCATTTGTGTAATCGATATCGGTTACGGAGGACGCGAACCGCCTTATCACACACTCCGAACCGACGAGGCAAACCATCTCAGGTGGAACCGACGATATCAACCATGGAGCCGATGAATTTAGGGGGGAGCGGGGCCGGTAACCCCGGTACGGGGAACCGCCAAAAATGAGTGATGGGTCCGTCAAAGCTAACCTCGATGCACGGGCACCCGTCCGTTCGTGGACGTCTCATCGCTGACGCAGCTGCAGCGTTCCGTTTCTATCCTATCGTTGGAACTATCTTGACCGACTCCCCGCGCGGCAGCGAGTCAGAGTCGCAGCACGTCACCTCTCCTGCTCAATGAACAATCAACCACGTCTCATGTGGCTTTGCTCCCGCCATATGCCAGACGGCTTCGGCGTCTGCCGTCCGCGTACGTCAATTTTCTGGGCTTCCAGCTGCGTCACGCCTCCGTCTCCCCTGTTGTGCTTCCCCACCCCTGTGTTCCCGTCTATATAAACACAGCACGAGCAGAGCCATGGGAAAACAAGCATCTCTCAACGCACCACACCCACATAGGAAGAAACTGATCATCGCTAGGCGCCGCTGACCATGGACAAGATCTTGGCTTTCTCGATCCTGAGGTCCTCGCCGGCGGACATCACGGGTGCCGGGTACGCCACGCGCCTTTCCTGGCGGAGCCGCAGCTGGCAGCAGCTGGAGAAAGCCACGAAGAAGCCGCGGCAGGAGGAGAAGGTCGACCAAGTCTCTCCGCCACAGATAAAGCGGGAGGTGCGTTTCGCACCGGAGTTTGACGGCATCAACTGCTTCGAGTCCATGATCTCATTCTGACCGGCTCGCCGGCTGTCTTGGGCGAGATTTTTGAGTTTTTTTTTTGGCTATTTTCTCTTTGTGGTTGCTTAATCGGTGATGAAGAGACATGTAATATGTACAGGGCAAGACAATGAATTACTTATCGTAAATTATGATGATTTTTCATGCTGTTAGTTTGAGCCATGATTCTCTGTCGTGTCAGATAAAAAACGGCGAGCTCCTTATAAAAACCGCACTTCCTCCCAACTCTGAATGTGACACACTTGAGCTTGAGGAAGAGGAAGCAAATGCATTTTCTCTTCCCTTTTTGTTACATGAGCTTGAGTGCACTTGCTAGGCAGTCATTTGCTTCCTGCAAAAGACGATGGTTCCCCCCTATGTTTGCCCTTAAGTTTACCTTTTTATCGAAATAATAATGATTTAAACAAAGTTTGATCGATTAATACATTTGACAAATAAAAGTTATATATACAGAAAATATAATGTGCGGTGGGGTCAAAAGAATTAAATGCTAAGGAGACCATAATAAATGCGCACACGTACATATGCATTCTAGCAAATGAAAAAAAAATGCTATGAAAACTAAAACAATGAACAAATAAATATGTTCTCCACCAGCCTTCACGTGTGTGAATAATGATTTCCCTCTGTATAAGTCTCTGCTAGCATGAGCAAATAGCAAGGTCTATTGATTCATCGACACTACAATATTTATTCCTCCTTCCATTTGACATATTAGATTACAAATAAGTGGTGAGTACGGTCACAGAGAAGATAACACGACAAGTGTTAGAGTTGTGTCGAATATAGTGTACAAGGTAGGTTACAGTTGGACTTGTAGTTGTATTGTGTTTAGATAGGATATGGAGTCGTGTCCAAGTAGGAAACTTGTATCCTAGGCCTCTCTTATATAGCGGGGGTAGAGACACGATGTAATCTATGCCAACATAATAGCACCGGAACGCAGGGGAAGCCGGCGGCATGTGCCGGTGTCCAGGGCGACCGGGTGCGGTATTGTAGTGGCGTCACGGGGAGGAGCGCCCGTAGTCAAGCCCCGGGGATGTAGCCATATCGGTGAATCTCGTTAACAAATCTCGGTGTCATGTTCGTGTGGATTGCTTGGTCCTCGGATGATCAACGAAGTGCCTCGAATTTATTCTAACAAGTGGTATCAGAGCAAGGTTTGAGATCGAGGCTGATTGTGTTGATCTAGAGGCAAAATTATCGTGGAAGAATCAGTAGTCGGCTAGATGATAAGAATTGGCGTGCGGCACGATCGCGTGGGCGCCGAGCTGACGTACTCGGAGTCGGCAAGGTTGGGATGTGGCTTGTGGCAACGCAGATGCGATCCAGCGGGCACACAGACAACAGCCCAAGAAGGACGCGTGCAGGCTGAGGACTCGATTGGTCGCTGAGCGTACATATTCTAGCGATATATGGTGCAATCGGAAACAGCAAGTCATGAGATTTGTTTGGAGACCAAAAGGGGACCGAGTCTTTTGTGGAGACATACTCTCCTGTCGTGCTTACCGGACAGAGGCACAAACAGAACGATTTGAGCGGAGGGAAAAAGACCATCACGTTGTGCATCCATTGGAAAGCAGAGACTTGGCAAGGCAAGGCTAGCATCATATTAGCATAGCCCGCGTGGCGGCAGCACCATATATCACTAGCATAGCCCGCGCGGCCGACAACAGCCCAAGAAGGACGCGTGCAGGCTGAGGACTCGATTGGTCACTGAGCGTACATATTCTAGTGATATATGGTGCAATCGGAAACAGCAAGTCATGAGATTTGTTTGGAGACCAAAAGGGGACCGAGTCTTTTGTGGAGACGTACTCTCCTGTCGTGCTTACCGGACAGAGGCACAAACAGAACGATTTGAGCGGAGGGAAAAAGACCATCACGTTGTGCATCCATTGGAAAAGCAGAGACTTGGCAAGGCAAGGCTAGCATCATACTAGCATAGCCCGCGCGGCGGCATGCCACGCCCATCGATACAACATATCTATATGCGGTGTGATGTTTATTTATGGTAAGTACTTTTAGGGTTGTGCTGATAGAATCACACGAAAATAAGATGAGGTGGAAATAGATGTTGATACATGTATAAAATACCAAATGAGGATGATATGATGAAAGCAAGTACATTTATTGCCATGATGCATGATACATGCTATACTAAACAGGAGAACACACACTCATACATATCTGATAAAATCTACTTATTGGAACTGTGCACAGCCCGGGTTACAAAACAAACATTACACGATGACACTACTGCAGCGAGATAGAAGAAGCGTAGACGATTAATTGCTAGATCAGATCGTCTAGTGTAGCCTCCAGCAAGATTAGTGCCTGTCATAAAGTGATAGAGTGCTTTTGCAAATTCCAGAATTTTTTCACTCCATTCATACAAAAAATATTATTACACTATGAAACATATTCATACACCGAAAAATCATTACATCATGCCTACCGAAGGGTTTGAGTTTTCTCATCTCTTTTTGATTTTGTTTAGAATCCTTGTGAAGCTCGAGATCCTGCAATTGGTAAATTTGGGTACACAGGCTGGTACACTCATTGTGTGCACGTAGCATTTCCCTTTTCTTTTTAATTTGTTGCTTGGTCAAGCGCGAGGAAACTCGCACGTCAAGCGCGAGGTACACCTGGGCGGCATAGGACGGTGGGGTGCCGGTGGTTTGGGCAGGCATAAGCTTGCACCGTCCGCAAGCTGGGCGAACTCGAGGTCAGAAACGTCAGCACTGCATGCCTCCGCGACGACGCCTCGTTGGGATGGTCCGCCTCTAATGGCCTATCAGGCCGGTACTTGGGCTATAGGTGTTCCTGAACGCGGCGATGATGGTGCGGTGGTGCTCAGCGGCGTTGAGGGCAAACGTCGTCGTTCGCCTCGATCATCTATGCCATGCTTGCCCGGAAATCATCCTCCGGGTCCGCCGACTCTTTCAGAACCACGAGGCTCTCCTGCAGCCATAGCTAGTGCTCATGCGTAGCCTCTGCGGCTCGCTGGTCGCCGCCGGAGTCTGTGCATCTGCTTGCGCCCACCGCTTGGCTTCATGTATAGGTGCCGCCACCACTCCTTGGTCATCGGCGACGTCCTGCCGCTGCCCGGGGCCTCCTCCTCCCCGTCGACCTTCTTTGCGGCGCCGACAGCAGGGCTGGTGAGCATCAGCCGCAGCTTCGGATCCGGCATGCACGCCGGCGCCGTGTTCGCGCCTCTATGTGGCTTCCTCGACTCTATCCACCCACTCATCTCATGCCGCGCCACCTCCTTGTACTTGCTGGTTGCCTGTAGTGCCGGTGTGGTGCAGCGTGGGCTAACGGTGGCTGTGGGCTTCGACGGGACAGTGCAATGGCTGCCATCCCTTGCCGCCCGAATAGCATGGTGAGCTCCACCTATGGACGCGGCAAGGCCATGGGTTCCAAACATACGCTGATAGTTGTGCCTATAATGCAAGCAGCGAAAGGAAACACCTATATATAGGATTCCTGAACACACCCAAATCACGAATTAAGCGGCGAGAAACAACTGGAACCATGAACATCGTGCTTCCTCGAGTCTTGCTGCTCATGTTGCTGTCTGTCCGAAAAGAGCATGACAGTGGCGACGGGATTGCATTTGCGGTGGCCCTCGAAGATGCTGGTAGCCTTGCAAACGCCTGCTTCTGCCCCTGCGTGGGGTCGCACACCACCAGCCGGTCCAGAATAGATCGCGCCGGCACCTGCCCCTCCATCGACAACCGGCGTCGGCGGCACCGAGGCCACGATGAAGGGCCGGTCGGCCGGGGCGGGGGCTGGCAGAGGCCTACGGCGAGGCAGCAAAGTGGGATGTGGGCGCCACCAGAATTTAGCAAAGCAACGATCGAGTGGTGAGGTTCAGAAGCGACGCGAGGATGCTCGACACGAATGAAGCGATTCCTTTAGGCGCAAACTGCGGTGTGGCGGTGGCGGCAGGGTTCAAGATAAGAACGGAGTGAGACGTGTGTGATTTGATGAATTCCTTCGTGTGTGTGTGAGAGAGAGAGAGAGAGAGAGAGAGAGAGAGAGAGAGAGGAGACTGGAAGGACCGAGAGAGACTTGGGAACAACCGCTCAAGTAAACGCACGCCAACATGTGGTCCCATCACGGCAACATGCATCAACCAATCCAAATAACATGCACCGTATGTAACTTTGGAAGCAAGAGATGTCAAATCAATCGCATGCACAAACGGACACAGCAAAACGAATGTCCCAGCCCAGACCACACAGGAATAAACAAGTTCAGAAAATCTACGCTAGAACCGTTCCATACCTCCATACACGCGCAATCATGTCCCTTGTCCTGTTGCCGTTGGACCCATACCCGAATAGCCTGATCGCCGCTCCTGGCAGTTCCGATTGGTCGTTCACCCAGCCACACGGCATGTCCCCACTCGGCCGCATGCATGCATCACTGAAATGACTGCGTGCCTCTCTCGCCTCGCACTTGGACGCAGACGCACACCGCTGACAACCGCTTTGCTCATCTCTCCATGATGTACGTGCTTCTCATGCCATGCAAACACCCACGTACACTTTTCCTGCCACATATCCAAGCCATCCTGAGCTATTGCACTCTAGAGCGGTGCATACAAAGAAAAAATACAAAAGACAAACAAGATGCTAGCGCTAGAGCTACACGGCAACTACAACAGCGATGAAGCAATGAAGTTCAAAAAATTTGAATGAAAAACTCACAGCCACACACTAGTTTCTACCCCACCATATCCCAAAGTAATACACGTGTCAAGGAAGGAAATGCCCACAAGTTGCTTTCAACCAAGTGGTTAAACGTCAGGGCAAAAACATCCCCTGAGATAGAGGTTTGGGTATATTGAGCCAGGAGCATATCACGATTTTTGCTTTTAGTACGCAGGGGTGTACCTCATCAGGTTTTGCTTGTGTACTTGGGGCATTGCGGTGGAGCTCGGTTAATTTTTCGCAAGGTCAACCATACGAAGAACCATGGCGTCAACG